AATACAAGGACTAGGGACATCACAGAAAACATGGAGATAGCAGGATAAATGCAACACAAAAGAAGATTACATGATTCTTTCACATAACAAACTGTACAAATACTTGTCAGTAGCTCAGATTGGTTCAGAAGGACTGGAAAAGTTCAGAGAAGATAAATCCATTGAGTGTGGCTAAATACCACCACTTCTAGAATGAAAAAGACCCTGAGCCTCACATAACTGAAGGCTAGAGCTACTCTGCTACAATGCCAATTACCTTACGCTCTGATTTTTGGGTGGTCCTGTGTGGAGTCAGGAATTGGACATGAGTCTTGTTCCTCCCAACTCAAGATATTCTATGATTCTACATGTACCTTTCCTGTCCAGATATTTCTGCTTTTGGCATCTTGATGAGCTGGCCTTTCAGTCAGACCTTTATATGGCCACTCAAATGTTTGTACAAAAGCAGATACATCTTAGTTTTTACATATACTGGTGTGAGCAGTATCCCAGTGCAGTATTTACATCTACAACTTGTCAATAGGTAATTCCCAGTAGAGAAGAAGAGTTCCCACAAAAGAACCCTTGCAGAGGAATTGCCACCAGAGAAATGCATTATTGAGAAGTAATTAAGATGTTGAGTGTTGTGTTTCTTGTCAGAATCCAGCTGTTGATTCGAACTCAAGAAAACCTGTACACCAGTTCCGAAAAGACACTTTCAGTAGTTAGTTAATGCTGCTATTAGAAATGAAAGGTATTTGTTATGCAAACAGTTGGCACAGACACTAATCTCTTGCAGAAATTTATGTCAGTTTTCAAGTAGTTTTTATAAGGCTGGTGTCAGCTGTCTTTCTTTACATGGATCTCTTTTGACTGGAGTTATTCTGAAATGTAGAGCTATTGCCTCTACATTATACAGATGAACAAAAGCATCATAGGATGTCAAAACATCACAAGAATTCTTTGTATCAGGAACAGGAGCCTAGTATTTAGCCTCCAGCACGGCTGGCCTCTTTGATCTGGGGAACATCCAAGAGGTAGTCTACTGAATATACGATAATAAGCGAAACTCTCAATTCAGACGTGTAAAGTTACACCTGATACATGAGCTTCAGGTATCAGATATTCCTGCTTGAAGTAAAATAAAAATCCAAACAAGCCTGCCTGGCATCCTACGGAATGCACAATTCATTACCGGTAATGTGGATGCCCGCATGGGGATGCTTGAGTAGCTGCCACAACAGTGCCAATGAGAGCAAATGGGCCAGGGCTGACAATGGTCCCCAGGTTACTACACATTAGCTGAGGTTTTCTGGCACATGATACCAACTGGTAGCCCTCCAGCTCTCACACTGTCATGGAGAAGGTGGGGTACCATATGTGTTGATCTTGGCTTTCTGGGAGCCAACTCACCCCACCTCCCCGACACATGAACATACATTTTGACACTGACTCATAAGAACCATAAGGAGACACACAGAGGGCCCAAAGAGAAGCAACTCCTAGTTGGAGAAAGAATTTTTCCTCCAGGCTTGTAGGATGTGCCCTTGGAAAAATCAGGAACTGAGCAAGTCACTTGGTCCAAGTTAGCACTGCAAAGTCCATGACTTCAGCAGGCCCAGTATTTCATAGATTAAGAGAACAGCACGGAGAGGAAAGGATTTTCCAGACAATCTGGTTCCATGCCCTTGCCGTGGACAGAGACATCTTCAATTACAAGGAGAACATTAAAACCCTTCTAAATAAACACTGGTGAGTTTATCTACAGACAAGTAAGATTCCTGCCATTAGAGCAGGGAACGTTTCCCTGAAAAACTGTCAAAAAATGAAACTACCCCTGAAAAGTCCTAGCAAGGGATCTGACTTTTTTCTTTAAAAGCACACAGCTGAAAAAGTGAGATCCCTAGAGAATCAGGTACCATATATATGTATATTTTTTTTATGTCTATAGGAAAAGAAAGAATATTGCCATCTCTGTTTGCATTATAAATATAGAAGAAAAAGTGTTGACGGTACTTTTACACAAAAACTGCAAGAGTCCAGTACTGAGCAGGATGATGGTTTGGGAATTAAATACATTTATCTATTTTCTAGCAAAGAAGAAAAATTAATCATTTCAAAAATTCAATTTCCCACAAAGACACTGCACAGCTTCTTAGCAGCAAAAAAGTTCATGTTGTAATGACATGGTGGTGGTTACAGGCAAAGGCAAGAGAATCTGATAATTTAAAAATGCTTCTTATGCAGCTTTTTCTTCCAAAGGCAAAGACATCTTTATCCAGCGCAACAACTTAGATCACATCAAGGTGAACCTCCTGTAGGATGCTACAGCTTACAGAACAAGTCATGAATACTTCATGTGCCCTTTAAATATCTCAGTTCCACCTCTTGAAAATAATTACCCTTGCACAGACCTATGAATCTTGCTTAGAAATTCACTGCTCTCACCTGTTTCCTTAACACCTGCTTTAAAAAGTGTCCCAGATAACTTTGATGTAACTACATCTTCCTAGCTTGTATCCAGACAAGAAAGTATTTTTCATGTGTTGTTAATTGTACTCTGGGGCAGATGGATGGGACAGAAAATCTATCAGTCTCTCCAATGTCCACTGTTTACTATGTTATTTTTTTAAACTGATTTTCCTAGGATTAATTCCAACAAAAGTTTTCCTTTCTATGTGTTTGTTTCTGTTTACCCTAAGTTGCAGGCTTCTGAGAACATTCAGAAGTAAAACATCCCTCCGTTACGCACCTTGCATTGGTTCTGTCAGCAACCCACCTTGGCCTTGTTTGAGCTCAAGCTGTCTCCCTGTCTTTTGCTGTGTCCTTACAAGGACACAGCCAAACTGCTTTGTGATCTTTACTGTAACTGCACTGTACCCAGGCAGTCATACTCCCAGGGGGAAACCCAAAAGGCATTTTGGGTGTTATGAGCAATAGATAATTGTACTTGTCTGCGTATCAGAAGACAGACTGTGAGAATATGCAATTTAGGACTGACTTGTAATAGTGGTCATACCACCATATTTTTAACCAAAATATCCTTCCATTTACAGAGCCAGTGAAGGCCTTCACTGTTCTTTAGTACAAAAGGCAAATCCAAAAAATTGTAAGGACAGCAGGGGACTGAGGTGGGTGGCAATTCTGTTTTACAACTGAGTTTATTTCCTAAATCCTAAATTCCCAATCACTTTGATCATTTCTTTGCATTTACTGCAATAAAAAAATTAAAAATCAATTTAAAGAAAGGGGGGCAGATCAAATACGTCTCATTGTTTGTATGCAGTTGTGACCATCTTGAGGTAAGCAGTGCTTGCTAAATAAGCACCATTCTGCCCTGGAACTCCAACCCGTAGCTTGAGGACATGAAGAAGGCCCAACGACAGCCTGCTATCATGGAAGCCGGATTACTTATTTACTTCTAGATTCTGAGCAAAGTAGAAAAAAGTTTTTTTGAAGTAGATTCTGCTGTTTTTTTAATACACTGATAAAAATTTAAGATACTTTTTACTGCTTTACTTCACTTAATATTTAATTATGAGCCATCCACACAGGATGGCACAGGAAGGACTGGACGAGATGTCCTTACTGGTTCTTTCTAGTTTGCTTGCAGTGACTTCTCTGAAGAAGGCAAAGTGACAGGCTCCCTAGGCGAACTGAAATAAGACTTACATAAAAACAAATTCAAGGCTTCTGACTCATGAATGATTCAAACCAAGAATACTGTGGATGCACTGGTGACAAAAAGCTGAGCAGATTTCCAAAACAATGGGATGATGGAATGTTTCTGGCCTTATCATCAACACAACTGTTTTCATACACAAACACAGCAGAGAGGTAATGAAAATTTATGTCATGAAGTACTGTGCCAAGGGTAATGGTCCCCAACCCTGCTTTTTTTGTATAATCTTTCCCTTATACTACTACAGGAACTTCTTCAATCAAAGGTTGTGTTAGGTATCATAGGGGAAACACTAACGGGGAGAAGTGCATTGAAGGGCACTACTTGTTGCTGACCTTGATGATGACACTCAATCTTCACTGGCAAGACAAGTGGAAGTTGCTATTGATTTTTTCAGACTGCTTTGTAAGTGCAACTGCTTTCTGCTTCACTCATCTTTCCCATCGTTAATTATCTTGAAGAGAGCATGGTGTACAGATAAGACTTGTTACAGGGAAAACTGTATGACTGAACATGAGATGACAGTTACAAGAACATGACTACAGTACCATAGGGTCAACAAAGGCAGATATTTTGCCTTTACTAATGCCACTGATAATATCGTCAGTAATAAGAATCTCTGACACTTAGGTCTAGTCATTTTTTCCACTCCTTTTGACAAATACTTTTGTGAAAATGATGGATCATTTATTTCATCATTTAGTTTTGGGCACAAAATAGACAGACTGAATTTCTCACCATCCTAACCCAGTCTTCCATCACTTCAGTCAATACACTCTCCACCCATAAAGTTACTGGATCTCATTCAGATTTAGTAACTGAAGTCCTAGTGACAGGAAGACAACAGCAATACAAGAGCCTCAGCAGAATGGGTAGCAGAAAAGATGGTCTCTAGCAAATGCTAGATCCAGTGTGAGCTATAATGGATGGTAAGGTTCAGTCGTCGAATTAGTTTAGTGGAATCTCTCCAAAGAAAAACTCAGCCGTCTGCAGAAAACAAGGTCAGTGCTTCAACACTCAATACATTTCCTCTTACTCAGTCCTAGCTGGAGCCTTAAAATGAAGTGATAAAAAGGGTTCCTTTCAGCCTCAGTGCCTGCATTTCAGAAGAATGTATCTATCTAGCACAGCACCACACAGCTAAGAGAACAGATAAAGCCTTATGGAATTCTTGACTTCAGTATCACTTAACTTTTCTTCTTCTTTTCTTTTTAACCAGAAGGTGCTAAAATTGTGTTTCCAAATGCTATTTAAGGATAGTAGGTGTTCCCTAGACACCCACATTCATTTATGCTCAGAACACTCAACAACCTCCTCCCAACACAGCTTCCCCTTTTACCTTCTGTCGCTGCTGAATGTTGCTTATTGTGTCTGGCTGAAACTCCAGCTTGTCTGTCCGACAAAGTTTCCAATATAAAATAATAACAATCAGGAGCACCACAGCAACTGGGACTGCCACTCCAACAATAATCCATAGGTTGCTGTTCTGTGCCTCTGAGGCGGACTCCTTCAGCTTTTCCACAGCTGTGAAGTTAAAAGGAAGAGAGTAGTTTTATGTGGTTATATATTTTTAACTGAGGACACATCAAGGTTACGTATTTTTATGTTCTCGTAAATGCTAGTTCAGGAATTTATCAAAAAGCAGCCGCACATCACAGGAAATGTCTTACACTTATCAGTTAACATATGTCATGCTCAGGAAGCAGCGATCAATAGTTCTGGTCTCTCTCCCAAGTACTCTTGCTTAAATTACTCATGAAAATACATTTCTACCACACCACTCCATAACTCCAGACTGAGATGACAAAGTGAAACACATCCAGAAAAATGCCCTGTCACTAACGTTAGAAGGGCTTTTCACTTAACTGTCTGTATTCTGTTTTGAGTAGTATTACCAGCAACCTCTTCTCTTTCATTATACACATTTTGTTACCTTCCCCATCAATAATCACAGTCAATTTGAAATCACTAAAACCCTCCTCCCCAGTGTGTATAGCTCCACATTTTTTACTGTTTTTTCCTTTCTCTGTTTCACTGTTGGTGTGTGACATCTTTTACCCTCCAAGAGAAAAAAACATAACCATACTGTAAAGCATAATTAAATCAGTCTTGTATGGAAAAAGTAAACTGGAAGAACCAACAAAACTTTAGTTTGCTTTATTCTGCATAGCAGTTCTATGTGGGGCTAAAACCCCACAAACAGCAGTAATACATTTCTAGTCAAATTGACATGCTCTTAAAACAATGTTTTAAAGTTAAAAAACAGTATTTCTATGCAACTTCATCTTTATCATTTTTAATAGTAGCCATTCTGATAATAAACTTCAAGATTGAAGGAATATATTATAATTCTTACATTTTATGTATTCAATAGCTCTTATGTCATCATGTGTCCATACATAAAATTACCATTTTCTTAGATAAAAACTGTTTAGTTTCTTCCCAATAAGAAAAAAAAAAAATTTTTTGTGCTCTTTACACAACTGTATAATGTCACCCTTCCTGTTTCTCTCTACAGGCACTGGTGTAGATTGGATAGGGCTTACGCTGTGCAACAGTGCCATCAATGCGGTATCCAAGGATGATTGCAGCGCGCTGGATGTCTACTCGGTTCATCAGGTCTGAGCACTTCAAAGCACTGAATCTCTCTCCATCTTGATCCTCCACAAAATAGATCAGCTCCACGGGGTTATCAACACCATCTAACCGTGACACGTTCACAATCTGTAAAGTAATTGGAATGCTTTTACATTTTATGTTGTATTTATTTGGGGTTCCCATACATTTGGCCTTTCAGTCTTCCCCACTCTTTCCCCTTCCCTTCACAGGGTCCAGATACTTTTCTAAAAAACAGCATTTGGAACAGCTTTGCCAAGTCTGTATCCATATCTGTCTTAATTGACACTGTATGCAACCGCTGGTCCATCAGAAACACACCACATTGTGTTATGCTACACCAATGCAATTGTTGTAGAAGAAACACCTCTGTGATAACTAGAAATACGATGCTACACAAACTATGTAACTGTTGGAAACTACTACAGTTTGGAAACTGTCCATATCCCAGGGAACTCTAATGAGAAAACGATGCTCCAAAACACTGTATGCAGCAAAGACAGCATACACACAACTCAGTTCTCTCATCTGAGAAAAGCTTCAGTCGACATTGCACAAATGTAGACATACAAAGCTAATATTCAGAAATAATCACTTTCTTCTAAATAAAGATTCAGAATATTGTCACCTAACTGCTATACAAAAGATTTTAAGTCTTTCAGAGGGAGATGACATTGCTGAAACAATATGTCAAATTAAATAAGCACTATTTAAGTGCTTTGGGTCACAGAAGTTTACAGAAATTTGTGTTTTGTAACTGTAGGAGTTGGACTCGGTCCTTGGGTGTCCCTTCCCAGTCGAGATATTCTATGAGTCTATGAACTGAAACTCTGCAGGGCAGTGATCCCTCACACAGTACATTTTTATGGCAAACTTGAAGAAGTTTCTATTCTTTTTTATTTTCCATTTGTTTCATGACAACATACAGATCCAGTACTGAACAGAACTCTTCTACCCTAAAGATGCAAATACCATCCCACTCTGGTAGCCCCTATTGTCTTTGTAGTTCGTCAGGTAGTAGGAATATCTGGACAGATTTATTTCACTGCACTTTTCCATCTCTGAATATTTTTACTTCATTATTCATAATGCACACTTTTTTGTTCCAGTCTTTCTGAATGATAAGCATTTATACAGGCAAATATTCTGTTAGCTTCAAAAAGAACTTTTTGTTCTACCTAAACGAAAGAACTTGCACAGTCACCTTCATCCTCCACACGGCTCCCTCTGGTATCCACCTCTCTTTGGGAAGGAATTCATTTGATGCTGTGGGAAGCAATTCTTTCTGCCTTCTTCTGAAGATGTTAATAATCAAAAGAATGTGTGCTATGAAGAAGCCCTGTAGATACTATCTAGCCACCACGCATCTACATTGCAGATGAGGCAATTTTAAATTCCTACAAAATTAAATCTCATACATTATAATTCTTTTCTGTATCATCATTTATATTTAATAGTGATCACAACCTCGAACTGCTCCAAACTAATAGCAAAAGGTATTCCACTGTGCAAAACAGAGTTTGAAGAGATCTGGAAGAAAATGCCACAAAAGGGCAATACATTTAGTTTCCTTCTGAACTTTTCTTTACTATGAAGGCCAGAGTTAATATATTAGAATCTCAATAAACTTCTTGTTGGCTTAAAGTAAAGCCAGTGCATGAAGGGTTGCACTTTCAAAGCTTACAGTTCAAGTCAACTGAAATCAAAAAAGAACATTCAGCATTAGCCACATTTTGAGTAAGTTAAGAGAACACCTACAAATAGAGTAGAAAAATTAAGAAATTTATGAAACACAGCAAGACCTACTAGGAGGACTCATTAATCAATGTTGAATTTATTGTAACACTGTTCACTCTTCCGCTAATACGTAAGGGTATCAATAAATAAGGTTTCTTAACGCGGTTACTGGGCAGCTGTAAGGCTGAATCTGGTTTCACAGAATGCAGATATATCATTAGTTAACAAATGCCCACAGCTTTGTTTTTCTGCTTTCACCACAGCCTGGCCTTAATGCATGGAATGGTAGTGTTAAGTGGTATCTGATTTCAGCACGGATGAGAACTTTCTAACAGACACATAACTCAAAAGGGAGCTGAAAGAACAGAAGGGCCGCACATGATTAAAAAGCCAGTGGGGTCTCATTTTACTTTTGGGAAGCTTCTTTTTGTCACATGCAAATCTACAGAATCGGAGAAAATTAGAGATTCTTAAATTGAATCATCATTGATTTTATGGAGTTGTGGAGTACTCAAAAAGTATCATGCTTATGTATGTGTGCCATACACAGAGTAACAGCCAGAACCTCTGGTTGAATGGGTTAAGAAAGAAACTGCTCCAAAGTTGCCTTCAAAAAAGGACAGAGAAGGAGGATAACAGACCCTAGTGCAAAGTGTCTCATGCAAAACAAAACGCCTTTAATATTCCTCTCCTCTCCATGCTGAGCAATAGCGAAGGGTGACAGGGCTGTTTGGGGACAGAGGAAGGAGAAGCAGTTGGAGGTATTTTGGTACAGAATAGGGAACATGGGAATGAACATGAAGTTCAACAGAGAGCGGACATTTAGGTTGGTGCACATGAACTAAGTTCTTTGTTTTAAGATACATTTTCTGTGAAAGAACTCATTCTGAGTACAGAATTCTCTATGAGTGCTCACATCATACTGAGGAAAACTGCAGACTAAATTTCAAACCCAAGGGAGATGGTTATGGAGCTCTATTCTTAGAGAACTGATGGTTGAGCATGGTATTATTGAGGTGATGAGACAACTACACTTGCATGTACACTCACTGTGACAATATCAGAAAACTTCAGTTTTCTTAACTGTTACATTGATTCACTACAACTTCTTTTTTCTGACCTCTAAGTTTGCTGCAACACAAACTGGTACACTAGATCTAAAGTATTTTTAAGTCTACTTTAAAAATCAATATAAACAGCCATTCTGCCCATTTTTACAGTTTCTGTATAATAAGCTCTGTGCTTTTTTTCCCCCAAATAGTCTCCATGCAGCTTCAGATTATTGTTTTTGTCTCATAGGTTAGAGTTGTCCCTCTGTGCTAAGAATGCAAGCAGAGATAGAAATGGCATTTTCCAGGCATTCAGAAATGTAGCTTGTGTGTAAGGAAGCATTTTACTTTTACAATTGGGCAATGAGGGAAGACATAGGGAGGGATGAGATGCAAGAATTTCAACACAGAGAAGGGGAAAAAGAAAAAAAAAGACTAATTCATTCAACTAAAATGTACAAAAATGATATAATCTTTGTTGGTACTAGATGTGCATTTAAACTCCAGAGAGTAAAGGCTTAATTGTGCTCATGTGCTAGTAAATTTTATTTAAAACATGTCTTCAAGAGACTATCATGGGTCAGTGAGGACAGTTTCCTTGGCAACCAGGTCTAGTTCAGAAATGAAAACAGAGAAAATCCAGGTGTTGGACAAACTCACATGTGCAGAGCATGGCAGCAGACCCTGCTTACACTGCAGTGGGCAAATGGGGAATGAGATGATGTAGCCAGACACTAAATACAAGAGTTCCAGTGCTGCTCTGTGCGGAGGCTTCATCAGCCCATGAACTGGTTTGACTGGGAGCAGACTGGTTAACCTGAGGATGCTCCTCTAGAAACTTCCAGGGGAGCTGTCCCTGGGCTCTCATTGCCTGTATGGCTCTGGCCATCCACCCAACTCTGCAGCAAGTGGCCAACATGGCGCAAAGCGACTCAAACCATGAGATCAAGCAGCAACAGTTCCCATACACTCCATCTGTAGATCCACACCGCCCAGAGAGACTTGGCCTTCTCCCAGGCTATGTGCATAGGAGCGACATATATGCTGGTAGTAGGAAACCAAAAGAACGAACATCTGCTCTAATGTAAAACTCAACTTTTATGTTCCCTCATTATGTTCCCTCACACATTATGACTGTACTGCCATCTAACCTGCTCTTTTCTTTACATCAGAACATTGTTCTTTTTTCACTTAGTAGGACCACCTTTTTACTTTCAGTTCAAGAGAACAAGCATGCTGAAATAAAGGAAAAGTAAGTGTGTGTTAGCTCCTGGCATATTTTTAAACCAGTATTAAGCTCAGCAATTCTGCATGAATTCAATGACTTAAGAGTTATTATGATTAACACTTCATAACATATATCACGTGGTCTAGTCCGTGCGGGTGCAATGCAAACAGCATCGAGTCATGCACTTTGAATCTGCAGCAACAGCAGATCCATATTAAATATAAATTTATGACATGCTCTGTGAAACAGCAGCATGAACATTACACAGAAATCAATGAGACTATCTCAGGTTTAACAGCCAGGCATGAAACTTCAGAGATTTTTGTAAGTGATGGTTTTAGTTGTTGTTTTTAAATCCTGGAGTGCCACTTTTTAGTTGCACAGAGGAGGGGAAAACATGCTATTTGGGCATTCTAGGTAGTCTGATGCTCTCATACAAAGTGCACTCACTGAAAGATTAATTTTTAACATTCTTAGGTCAGAACACATACCTTTACAAATGAAATCTAAACCTCACAAGCTATCAATTAGTACTAGAAGGGAAACTAATACGCCTGCAGTAACATTCACAAATAATTGCTTCACCTTCTGACCCACAGTCTTGATTTTCCAAGGAGCTTAGAAATGTCACATTTCAATGTGCTATTAATATCTTCCACTTCTGGAAAAACAGGTCTACTGGAGCTCAACACAAGTGAAATGTGTGTCTAGTCTGTTGTGAATATATGCATGTCTTACTAATAGAAGTATCCAAAACACTAGCAGCTTCTAGTCATTATGTTCACTTTGTTGTGGCCTACTAATACAGCAGTTGCTGGTTGGTGTACAAGAAATATAGATGGGAAAATCTGAATACAAAACACAAGGAATATGAATAGCTGTCCCTGAAGACTCAAACAGATGCATATACACAACACATTTCAGACACAGCTTATAAGCTTGGCTGCAAGGAACAGAATGAACAGCAGTAAAACCAAAAGGTTTACTGCAAGTGGCTACGGACCAGATATTCAACTGACAGGAAAGCATCCCTGATGAGCCCATCAACAGGTGCAGCACTTCAGCTGCACATGCCTTCACACCTGGAGTGATGCTGACATATCTACTACACTGAGCCTGGAAAAGGTCAACATGAGAGCAGCTCTGCATAGCAGACAATCCTTGCATCACAGGAATACTTGTGTGGTCATGACCCCGTCTGTAAAATCTGCTGTCTTCTCAAACTTAGGCTCAGATTCCAGGTTCCCATCTGTAGTGCTGCAGCAATAACAGGCCAGCTTTACAGCACTGCAGTACACATGAAGCTCAGTTGCTCCAGCCAGTTCTAGCACTCATAAAAAGTAAGCAGCACGTCTGGCAGCTTTAAGCTTGGACCTTCAAACACAGAGTAACAACCCAGGTGAAAAGGTTGTTACTTCCAGGAGAACTTAATATTAAAGCTGAACTATTCCTAACTATCTATATACATTATGCAAGTTAAATCTTAGCCAATCTGTTTTGTTCTCTACAGAAATGTCATTTCAGCATGCGTGTTCTCTGCTGCAGTCCTCACTGAAGTGTTTGAGCTTCTCTCTGCAGAATATCCAGGTTAGAGCATGGTTTTGAGAGCTGGGCATGGGGGAGAAAAGCAACAAGAGGATTACTGAAATATTTAGTTGTAACTGATAAAGTTGTGAGAGGTAACAGATACTTTCACCAATGCAAGGAAATAACACAGAGAGGAAGAAAACAGTCTTTTCACTCATCTGCACACAGGTAAAAGCAAGTGCTCTGGAATATCCGCTCATCAGGCCTCACCTGGAAGCACATAGCTAAAATCTTATGAATAGACTTCAAAGGTTGATATTGTCTTTGGGATTCTTTCCCACATGTCTCCTGAGGGCACCAACAAATGACTCAAAATCAAAGCCAGACAACACAGAAAAGTTTGTTCACTTTCTGGTTGTTAGGCAGTGGTCTCAGAGACAAAATAGAACAAAACGACTTCATAAGAAGGCCTTAAGCATTAGATAATTAATATGATCTACGCTTAGTAAGAGCTATTTGAGATACCTTAAACCAACAGTCTCCCTGGATGTCTTACCTACTTCTGGATATTCTGCAAAAGTAAGCAAATAAGAAGCTGTAGTGCATGATCATACCTACCATTACTTGTGCAGAAAAAATGCCACATCAATCAGGTACCTAGCAGCGAGGATCACATGCTGCAAGCATATTATACACTGCTGTCCTTCTGCCTTCTCTTATCCACACCTCCTTTATTACAGCACTAACCACACTGAGCAACACTGGCCATGAGCGCCTGCAACAGCCTTGTGTTATGTGGGATGGGAGGATGTGCTGACCGCAACTAAGAGAATCCGCCACTGCCTGAAGACAGCAGCTTGCAGACTCTTTGCACTAATTAAATGGCATAAATGAGCAGCAGCGCTGCTTGGGACACGAGCTGCAGAATCCACTTATAATAAGTAATACAGTGAGTCATAAGAAAAACACTGTTTTTTCCAAAATGTTCTCCTTTAGATGGAAAGGATTTCTGTGGTATCTTGTGCATGAGAAAATAAAAGATTTGAGCTTTATTGTCTAAAACAATAAAACTGTATTCTACATGTGCACATTTTATAGGCTCTGGTATCTTTGCTATCAACATAAGGATTACGTGTTTATTTTATATGCAAAGGAAGGACTGAGGCATAAAGAACAAAGTGCAGCAAGAGGTGTTGGGGATATGAGATTCAAAGTAGACATCTATTAACAGCAATTCAAAGCTGCTTGAAATAAAAATAAAAATAAAATCAATTACTGAAACAGATGTTTCTAAGACAGAAAAACAGAAGTAAGAAAATTCTAACATATGGAGATTTAACTGCTAGCTAAAACTGTAGGGTCAGGTTAAATAAAGACAGAAAATCCGAACTGTGAGATGGGCATACGTGAGGTAAGCCAACTGTCGACGACTTAGCTAGAAAAAATAAACTTTAAGATCATCATCCGTGAGAAAGCATTGTGACATTCAGCTCGATGAACGGACTAGAATGCATGTGAAAATTTACAAATTAAAATTAAGTACCCATGTCTTCACGGACATTATGTCAATAATTCCAACTTAAACAAAACTGTAATGAAGCACTGGTATTTAGAAGCTGTCGTATGTGCAAAATTTGACATAATTTATCAGCCTTACTTAAAACCCCCTCCTGCAACCAGGAATGCTATGACAAATGGGAAGTTAAGAGCCCAAATTTACTGCTCTGCTACTGCATCAAGCAGCACATGATTTTATTTCATATTTCTACACCTTCACAAAAACAACAGAGACCTGCAAAGTAGCTGTTCCAGCAAAGTACATTTTTGACTCAGATGACCACTCTATCTCCTTTTCTAGGCATCTCCTGTAAGTCAGACAAGACAGCCAGTTCTTTAAAAAAGATGTCAGTAAAATCATTTTCAGTATGTTTTTTCAAAAGTCAACAGAATTTTTTAGTAGCCAGTTAAAACACTTGGTTGTTTCCATTTGTTACTTTCAGTTTAAAATACAATAAGGTAGCCAGAAGACCCATATTTCAAGTACAGAACACAAGCATCATCAACTAGCTAAACTAGTCAATTGCGATACATGCACGTGAAATATCTTTTCTCAACTCAAAGCCTAGGTATTATGAACTTATTCAATGATTCATTCCCCTTTATTTCTTCCTCTAACTTTGAGCTCTGAATACCTGCACAATGTTGCTGCCTGCAAAACTGGCTCGTCTCCATATCCGCCCTCTGGCCAAAGCCTCGTTTAACAGGTGAGCTAGCTTCCGCTCCATCTCAGCCTGAAACACTTCCTCCTGAATTCGCTGGTCGACGACACCCAAGAGAACTACATTGCAGAGAAAGTAACCCAAGAACACAATTGAATTAGTGAAAGTTTTCAGTGCCTTTTCTGCAACTTCAATTACAAGTGTTGAGTCACTCTGTGACATCTTAAGGACAATTCAAGAGCAGCAGTATTCTTAGGGGAATACCGTGAAGGTCAGCTGGTGGTTACACATTATTAGAAAAGGAAGGGTTTCGATCAGGAAAGCTTAAAAGAAACAAATTTTAAAAATAAAATAAAATAGGGCAGAGGGCACTTCTGGAATCTCAGCTGTCTAGGCAGACCCAGAATACTGAAGAAACGACTTAAATTCTAAAAGAGCATGAACATATGAGCATTAAGTGAATTAATCAAACACAAACAAAAGAAAACATTCAGTTAAATTGCTTGCTGCAACTAACTGCCACCAAAATTTCATGTTTAGAAGTGAGGCAAGGTGAGAGATAGGCAGGGCAAAGGTTCACAAACAAGAAAAAAAAATGGACCACATGAATGACACTGTGTATTCCAAGCGTGTCTTCCCTAGATAAGATACAGACTACCAACTATGCAAATCACAGCATAAAAAAAAAGGTTAGTAGCCCTCCCAATTTCGTTCCCAAGCCCCAGGTAATCCAGGTCACTGGGGCAGTCGATGCTGAGAAAAATACCTGAGGAACACTGCACAGCAAACAACAAAAAACTGTGAATCTTTGTCATCAAGATGGCATTCCAGTAAAAGAAAGGTATGGTTAATGCAGCAACAGTCATTTGAATGATCTAATCGAACAATCTTAAAGGATAATAAACTGGCTCATCACTGACTGTAGCAAAATAATGCAGTTTTCCTTCCTGAGGCTCTCCCACTAACATGGTTTATTTGTTAAAATGTCCCTGTTCTGTTGAAGCTTATCATGTTTATTTATTTATAATAAAAAGACATTCAATCAGATAAAATCTAATAATTACAATTTTAGGGTTTTTTTTTTTTAATTTTAAAACAATTATCAAAACAACTTGTTCCATTTAAATTTTTTCACTGCATATGTTGGAAAAAAAGGAATTACTTTCAGGATTTCTCAGAGATCAACAGCACGTCTGCTAAATTCAATCACAGACAATGTATCTCAAAATAAAATAGCAAAATTAATAGAAAGTGGCCAAGGGCTATTATATACAGCAAGTAGAATGTCTTTCTTGCTTATATATTGAATTTGAGTATCAATGAATTATGCTTAATAGCACAAATTGTATTATATAACCAAGAGGGACAACCACAGAAGACACTGCATCTGCCAATGTCTTATGACCACTGGGATATTTTAGAGTACCCATGCACTTAGGTCTTGGCAATCTACTATTAATCTGCTATTAAAAAAAAGCTTATATTTAGCAAGCATAAATTCAATAATCTCCCTTTTTCATTAGTCATACTATCTATCTAGAAGAAGCTATCAAATAATGAAAAAAGTCATTAACACAGAATGATTTTGCCATTAGAATCTAATATACTAACTTAAAGGATAACTAAGCCAAGGCATACTAGCTCTTCCAAGGATACTTGCAAGAACTGAGATTGCAAAAAATTCCCCTGCATCAAAGAAAGGTGCTGTGACTGGCTTTTACAATCTTATATCTTACATATATTATGCAAGATACCTTATATATGTCTTATTATATGTTACATATATATATTAGGGAAGGAAAAAAAGAAGAAAAAAAAAAGTTGTGTGAGACACACATGTTGATTCTGAGCTGGAAGAACTGTTTTTTAATTTTTTTTTTTTTTTATTGCAGGGTGTAAGGAAACTTCCAACAAGAACTGATAATGCAGATTTCTAAGCAGGAGATGGTATGGCTATCTTAACCAAACTGACAAAAAACTGATACACATGAGTAGTTGCTCTCCTGTTACTGTACATAATCTGAAATAGTTCAGTTTTCTTCAGAAATACAAACTATGTGGACTTCAGCAGTTGACTTCCTGTTTAAAAAGTGAACTGGTCACTTGTGAGAGGAGACAGGGATGCCTGGAAAAAAATCACTATGTTTATACTACTTCTGGTAAACTATGGATGCAAAGATAGTGGGAAGACAAAAGTGTATCCAGAAGGACATCTTCACTTGAACAGCAAGGTTGCTAGGCAAAGCCTGGCCACCAGTTAGGCTTTCTGTGTTGAAGAAGTAGGTAGGATCTCTGCGCTTGTGGATAAATTCAATATCCTTTGATCATCTAAAAGTGACAGCTCAACCATATCAGTTAATTACAGAATAAAACACTCAGCAGACTTGGGTAGGAGGGGTTTGAATGAATCAGAAGAGATCAATGAAACGTGATGAAACAGTTTCTCGCAGCCAGAATATATCTATTTTTATTCTGTTTTATTCCTGGCATGTTTTCATATTAAGTGCCACAGAAAGTTTTTGTTTTTCCTTTAAAAAACTGAATATCTTAAAGTCAATTGAGAGCATGCAGAGTAGATAGTTCATGCTTGACAGCATAAGCTGTCTCGCTAAGAAGGAACTGCTTTATAGCCAAAAACTTTGGTGTGAATTATTGAGGAATTGCAGAAGTTCATTCTAAACTCAGGAATTACATTTCTCAGATGTTGCAGTTCATCACGTCTGTCATTTTTAGAACAGATTCTGCTCAGGCGTTAACGCCTTGCAAATGTGCAGCACCCCCAAGTTGTCAATATTTATTTACATATTTGTATGTATGCTAGTTATCCTACTAACAAAAATAACTGCACTTTTACTCACAAGAACTGTACATACCTGTTCTCACCCAGGAAGATTTCATCAGCTGAGACACATTAAGCTTAGGATAATGAAAGGCTGAGGGAAAAAGAGAATGAAGGAAAAACAACAGTTAGAATGCTATTCTCAGTAACAGATTAAAAAAAAAAGTTACTTCATAATTTATGCTGTCAGTAAGCATCTTCTTTACACAGATGTATTACAATTCCTGAGGCTGTGCAGACGCAATGGTAAAGCAATTGCTCTGGATGTACGCTACCTGGTTCACCTCTGAACAAAAAGAAGCTAACGGGTGCAGTCAGATTTATTACCTGAAAAATTTCAAGCTGCTGTACTGAGGTCATTGCTCCTACAAGCTTAAGAGTAAAACTCACTGTGAATTCTTTTTCTTACTGAGCTAGCTGCAGGATGAGACTTTTGCTCAAAGGGCAATGAAGCAATTCACAACTGTTTGGGAACAAAAACATGACCCTCTGTGAGGCAAAAATGACACGGTAATATTAAATGTAAAGCAGAAAATTAAATAGATCTGATTTGAGTTCTAGATTTGTGCAGAGGGAAAAATTTAAAATGTATCACATTGGTAAATTACTTACAAAAATCACGTATGAATGCATGTAGAAGCATCGCTGTGAACAAATCTCAAGGATTATGTATGTGTGTGGCTTGATGGCCCCAAGATTTTTGTATAAAGCTGTGCTACAGGAAGAAATACAGTGAAGTGAATAAAGTCAATTTCCAATGATTTCAGTAAGAATAAGATTTTTCCTAAGGTTTCCACTGGAGAGCAGTAAAGACATGTTGGGAAACAAGTGGAGATGGGGGTTGGGCCATCTGTTTCCTCAAGGGATGTTTTAAGCTTCACTACGGCAATACGAAAGAGGAAGGGTCATAACTTTCTCAAAATATTTAATCCAGATGCAGTTTACTAAGCATTATACAAAGGTTAAAAATGACCTGATCCATGCTAACACAATTTAAAACAAAGTTGTACTGTTGTCTTCAGTTCTAGGTAAAGATTGCCACTACTGCATGCTCTAGAGAAGCAGAAAATTACCAGTTTTCTAATTTAATCATGCCATAATTGCTAGAGCAGCTGACATGTGTCAGCATATCTAAAAATGATTCCTTTGCCCCTTAAAAAGCTTACCATTTTTTTTTTACTTATGCGAAGAAACCACCAGTTAAACCGTCTCTTTTATTCGCACAGAATTAAATGAAAACGTGGTTATTCCACTTTATTTCAATAACAGCACGACCAGAGGTACACAGTGACTTACTGTTCAGAAGGGTATCAGAATACAGTCCTTTATTCTCAACACGGAGCATCAGTACTCCATACACCGATCAGGATGCATCACATTTCCAAAACTCTCAGACACACAAATAGCACCCCACAGTCCATTTAATTTAACACATTTATTTTTGGCACACTGCTACACGGTTCTTCTGAGTGTAGCTTATATTTGCTCTGTAGTTATATCTGCTCTGGTCACGCCAATTGTTTATTTTAATTTAGAGATACAACCTGAACAAAAAGCGTAAATGAAACCGCATCTCTGTTTTTGTAAGCGTGGAAAGAGCAAGATAAGAAAAATCAAAAAGCCTCCAACGGCCACAAAACTTTGAACTGCTAACAGATGTGGGTTTTTTTCTTCCTTTTAAAACAAAATTGTGCTTTGCCTCAATACTTAAAGCGCTCTTCATGCTTTTTCTAATTAGTACTTGAAACCGATTTAATTCATGCAAATTACTGGATGACTATTCACTTAAACTTTTCATGGAATTAATGAAATTTAAAAATAAACTGATGAGAGAAAATCTTGGGATTGAAAAGAAGGATGTGCCACAATCACTGGCAGCTAAGGCTGGGTTCTAAAACCTGGAAAACAGTGCATGAAATGAAGGACACTTCAGACAGTGCTCTCAAGTCGAAAAATCCAGGCTCCAGATCCTGTACCACTGGTCATTGAAGTACCTCACCACACATGGCCCAGTTCTGAGCTCAGCTGGAGTCTCAACACTGCAGTGTGATCATATTTGCAAGATACCTAATTCCCCTGGAACTAATGGCTAAAACCAGTGCAGAGTCAGGGGAAAGTTGGAAAGACAGTTGCTAGTTAGATTATGGTTGGTCTGCTAAAGATTACTGAAGCATTAATGAGGTACAGATTGGCATCACTGGAAGATTCCATGACAGTCCTGAAGCACCATACCATGTAATGGCATTGATTCCATGCTGACTGAAACGGTCACTTAGTCACCCAGAAATCTTTCAACAGCTGTTTGAAGCACTCTACTCCAGCAATATGGCCTTTGCCAGGTGCTCCGGTATGGATATGACTGATTTTATACCAAGACATGTGGGATCATGCATGCTGAAACAGATACCATATTGATTGCTCTTATTTATAATCAATGGAGGAACATCAAGATAAAGTAGGGAGGGAGTGAAGGACTTAGTATGAGAGGTCATGGAAACACTGCGATGCAGGCAGTATTAAAATACTGTATCTGATCCAGAACCCACTCTGATGAAAACTGCCAAAATATTCTGCAATCCTTGGATTATATCACACCATTTCATCTTATCCTATTAGCCTCGCAACATCTCCAAAGTAACTGAAATAGATGTTACTCCAAGTGCTAGTTATGGCACTGAAGAACAGCCCCAAGGCAACTCTCTATTTTTAGTGATAATAAAAACAAAGCAATTTATTTGGGTAGGCTCACAAAGGATAATATTCCTCTTCTAGTCCACAGATAGCCCTTCTTGCCCTGTCCTCAGAAATCTTGCAGCCATAAGCAGAGGGGAAAAAAAAAAAAGACGTATTGCACAGGGACAACCTACGTAGTTCATAACAGTGTATATTAATTACATGAAAAACTCAGACTGAGTGCAAAAGGCAGCGTCAAGTGAACAAGAAGCAGGGAAGGGAGCAAATAGAATCCTTCAAACAAGGCTCATATTTGGGACATTGTAGGCAATGTCTCACTTGCCTTACCAATGCTGAGTCACGGTGATAGTGCACAAGTAGCTTGTCCTTAGTGTGGATCAGTGCGAACATCCTGGCTGCTCAGCTCACCTACAGATAAGGTTTTTTGCTTTGTATGAGGATTAGAAAACTTATGATATTCTATATACAGCACCAAGAGGAAAAAAATTCACTGCCAGGAGTATTAACTGTTATCAGGCCCAACACTTAAGACATAAATGCAATAGAACCGTATGGCAAGGAACATTTCATATCCACATACCTATATACCTTTCAAAATCTCTCTCAAAGACCTATGTTGAAAAGCGGATGGTTGGCAAATAATTTGCAAAGAGCCAAGTAGCTATATGTCAAAGCAAGATCTTCACAATACCTTGCCTGCTACAACTGCTCTGCAGACCAAGGAACAACACGAAAATAGAGTTCAGGGCCCAGAAATCCGAAGCATTTAGGTGCTGGACTGCCAAAGCAGCTCTGAGGATCTGGCCTTTTGTCACCCTCAGATTGCTCAATAAGAAGTATCAAAAAGGATCTATCCAACATTGCTGCGCCTTTGGACGTGATTTCTGGCTCTGAAGATCTAAAATCCTTCAGATGAAAACACAAGAGTGCAAAAAGAAAAAAATATGCAGAAATAGCTATAAAGAGCTGAGTAATGATGCCTCACTTGCGAAAGTATATGAATGACTTCCACTATTGTCCATGCTAACAGACTCATAGTCCTCAACAAGCTGATAAACTGTGTTCTCACTTTGCTGACTTATCAAATGGCACTATGCCTGGTGTTCCACCATGGTGAATCCAAAACTGCTGAAACACTACAGAAACCAAAACACAGAAGTACAAATCAAATTGAGCTGTACTGCAGTGTGCTACGTCAACTGTAAGTTAGAGTTTTCTAGTGATGTGCAAGTCAAATACTGCAATATTGCCCAGGGAAGTGGCGAAGTTCTCATCCCTGGAAATATACGTGTATATGGCACTAAGGGACATGGTTTAGTGATGGCACTCAGTAGGTCAGGTTGGTGGTTGGACTTGATGACTCTGTGGAGTGCTAATGGCACTAGCCTGCAAAAGTAGCATTTGACTTCCTCACTCAATCTTCTTCACACAGCCTTCTCTTTGATGTGTGAGCTGTTATAAAGCTCCTCCGGCATTGTCAAGGAATCGTAGTCACTGGCCAAGCACTAAAAGCATGCAAATAACACTGGGAGAATTCCTGCTCTGAGCACTAAATAAATTACTCATACATTTCTTAATTATTATCAGGAAAAAAGAGTAGGGAAAGCATAAAAATAAAAAATGAGGAGAACGGTTCATACACGTGTTTAATAGGAATGGTTTTCCCTCATTACCAGCCTCTTTTTTTAGGCTGTACTGATGTTGGTAAAAAATTATGTTATCAAACTGCACTGTAGGACCCATCACACAAAATGAAAGACAGGATTCTCAGCAAGGGGCCATCTCCAAATTCACTACGAATATCTTTCCAGAATATGAGAACAAAACAAAAAACTTTAGGATCAGATGTTTGTACACCACTGAAAAAAAAACCCAAGCCACTAAAAATAATACCAGAGAGAGTAAAAGTAATAAGCTCAAGGGCAAAAGTGGAAAAAAAAAAAAAAAATAATTAAAAAAAAATCAGTGCATAGTGACAAGAAATTTCTTTCAAGCAGTCAAGTTAATTTGAATTGAATGAGAGGTAAAGATCACAGCCCACAATCTGAGAAGTTCTGTGGCCTCATAAGGAACCAAAGAAATGCTTGCTATCCAGGCACAAGGATTCTGAAGGCTTTTTGTTTGGCTCAATTAAATACTGCTGCTACTGCAAAGGTATATTCTGTGTGAAATCAAATGAAGGCAGAATTGTTAAAAAGAAACAAGAAGGGCAATACAAATAATAGGTTATGGGAGCAGAGGGAACAAAATTAAAAAAAAAAAAAATAATAAAACAAAAGGATTGAAAAATTTAATATCACCTACCACTAGGACTGATTTTCCACCATTTAGTTGACAGCATAGAATCACTGTGTCAGGTGCTATAAGACTATATGGCCCATAAAAAGTATCTTGGATAACTAAAAATCTGCTTTGAAAAGCACAGTGAGATAGGAGACACCAGGAATTAATGGGCTGTATTAACATTAATAGGTGCCACCAGGAAAGGCAGTACTGTTCTCTCATGATCTTACTTATGTTCGTGAGTCACTGCTGACAAGAACAATCCATTACTGTACAGGGATTATTGTTCAAATGAGAAACTTAGCTTATTTATAAGACTGAAGTCACTTGTAAAATATAACCAAATACAAGCTGTCAAGAGTGAATGTCAAGGCAACTCTGCTACACAAGCAGTTCCCATTAATCTAAGTTTAGGACGACCATGGATTGAATTAAAAAAAAAGACTTACAATACAAGTAGCAAACAGGAAGCGAGAGAGTTGAAAGATAACACCTTTAAGAAAACAGACAGAAGTAAAGGACAGTGACAACAGCAACAAGTTGCTGTAACACGGATACACACCATGTGAGCAGAGAATTACAGATCTGCTTGACAGAATTCATGATACAAGTCAGATACCTAAAAATATTTATAAAACAATTTAGAGAGGAAAAAATACTAAAAAAAAAAAAAGGTATTTTGCAGCCTTGGCCACAAGTACTCACGTTCAGCAATTTGCTGCACAGGAAAACCCAGATAGAAGCTGAATTCCACCATGGACAAGTTTCTTAACTGTTCACTGACTTCTGACCCATTTAGAAAACCATATCTATCTCGAATGGCAAAAATGATGCTCACAGGGCCCTGACGAAATGCAGCTCCAGGCCTACTCAGAGTTATATTCAGTATCTGAAAAGACAAGATTGGAATAGTGTCAGCAAAATCAAATCACTGGCATTTCTATCCTTTACTTGATAGATTTTTTTTTCCTAAAATGAGGGGGAGTATTTTACATCAAAGCAGATGAAAAATGCTAGACGAATATCAAAGTGCATGGGACAGACAGGAGGACAACATGACAAAGGAAATCATGAAAACTGATGTTCTTTTGGTCAAAACCTACTGCACCATGCATACCCAGACTCCTAAACTGTTAGAAATTTCATTTTGCCACCTAAACACGGAGCAACTATGTCAATATAGACAAGCCTATTCCAAAGAGTAATAAACCATTTAAAAAGAAAAATTGCTAAGTTGATAGTCCAAGAAACTGTCTTCATTCTATCCAGTTATATTGCCTCTCTGAATTGGACAGCTCTGAGTATATCGCTGTGCACTTGATCTATACGTACTAGATAGTATTTTATATGCTATAATGTTTATGTAATATCTTCTGCTATAACTTTGTAATACCACAGATACACATTTATGGTGCACATAGCACAATATTATCTATTTATTTGTTTATTTATTTGTATTAATTTGGGGACTACAGCAAAACTAGGATAAATTTAAGAAATCAGAAAGAGGGATTTGATCTCTTGAGTTACTGACTTTCCAGGAGGTTTTAAACTCTGTCATGTAAGTCAGTATCCAATGCATACTCAATACATTTTACATGTGAATTTCCAGTAGTAGCTGCCATGGACAACATACAATACTGAAAGTATTTCCATAGCTCAGAAGTAACTAGAATATTTGATCCCATAATGATACTACGCACACAAATTCTGTATTTCCTAATAGGATCTCCTGAGTGGCAATGAGAAAACCTGAGGAAGACCTGAAAAGTGTCTTCCAACAAAAACAAACTGACTGCACTCAATTCTGTAATAACAAAAAACAATGAGAATGAGGTTGAAAAGGGTTAGGGCAGATTTCTGTGAAAGACTTACGTGACCAGCATAAGCCTGTTTATCTTAGAATGGCTTAAGTTGGAGGTAACCTTGAACACTATGTAGTTCCAAACCATCTGCTGTAGACAAGGCTGCCACTTACCAGCAGAGGCTGCCCAGGGCCCCATCCAACCTGGCTTTGAACATCTCCAGGGATGGGCCACCCACAGCTTCTCTGCGCAGCTTCTGCCAGTGCCTCACCACCCTCTGTGTAGAGAATTTCTTCCTAACATCCAACTTAAATCTCCACTCTTTTAGTTCAAACTCTTGTTCTATCACTATTAGGCCATGTAAAAAGTTGGTCCCCCTCCCCCTTATAAACAGCCCCCTGAACATCCTCACGGCCCTTCTCTGGATCCACTCCAGCAGCTCCATTTCATTCTTGTGCTAGGGGCTCCAAGCCTGCATGTAGCACTACAGGTGGGGCTTCACAAGGGCAAAGCAGAGGAGGATAATCCCCTGCCATCCCTCCTTTGATTTAGCCCAGGACGCAGTTGGCATTCTGGACTGCAAGTGTACACTGCTGGCTCATGTCCAGCTTTTCATCGACCAGGACCCCTACGACCTTCTCTGCAGGGCTGTTCACATTCCTGTTATTTTCATTAACTCTTATTGATATAAATCATCATCTACTTGGATCATCCTTTCAAGAAGTCTGAAACCAGTGATACATGCCAGATTATTTTGCAGAGAAAAGTTCTGACTTTCTGATGAAGCCTCGCAATTCTACATGATCTAGATAAGAAGGGGTAGATAGGGGTAGATCTAGATAAAAAGGGACAGATACAAAACATACTTATCTTTTTACCTGCACAGTGAAGTTGTAGAACTCCTGGTGTTGTTTGCTCACCTCCATGAATGCCATTGTTAGTCCCTTCTCAATGCGCTGACTGAAGTTGCAGAACCCAATATCCATGTTTCGAGGCACAAACTGAAGTACTGAAGGTAAAGACTACACATTATTTCTACAGCCAAGTACTTCCGTGAGTGCGAATAAAATGAGCAAGAGAATCCTCATTCCATAGGACTATCACTTTTTCATGGAATTCAGGACATATTCTATGAAAACCTGGATAAAAATACACATTTTGTGCCGGTGCAGGAAATTTTCTGCTCATAATAATCTGTTACAGCAGTAATTAGATTATTCAGATACTGCTGACAAAATACTTACTGTTTCCTCCTGTAAGCTGAAAGCTACATATAAACTGGCTAATTTCACAAGACTTGAGTGCTGAATAAGCCACACTGAAATCCTTCGTATTCAACAGTTCAATTAAAATCTTAAGGAAAATAACAATAAATTTCTTTTTAGCCTGAAATCTAATAGTTAGCATGTCTAAATCACACTGGATCCATTAATATAAGTTATTGACAGCCTAACTTTCAAGATACCTAACTAGCAGCCATTCTTATAAATCACTGTAGATATACCTTAACGTCTTTGACAGAAGAATGAGAACAGGAGAGAAAGAGAAATGTGAGCAGGCGCACAGATCTCTGTCTACCTGCACATTTATCTGCACATTTCCTGATGTATTCTTACCCAAAGAAATGCTATCATCAAGTTACAGACCCTAATAGCACTTTACACAAAGGTCATGATGAGGAAATGTAGCTATCACCCATTTGTTTAACCATGCTAAGTAGTGGAAAAAGACATCGCATTCATACAAAGAATTACTGTCTTAATTTACAGATACTAACAGAGCAGAAAGAGCACATGAAACATACCTAAATAAAAGCACCTGTGTTTGACATTCATGTACTCTCTGCCCATATACTCAATCCCCATCACTTTCTCATCACTCAGTCAACCAATCAGGCTGCTTTTTTTGTTATGCAAATACTGCCTGAAGAAGATTTTAAATGACACCACTGACTCTCAAAAGCCATTACATGGTTAATATGTTACTTTAGATTATTAGTATTCATGGACTTGACATACAACATGCTGCTGCCATACAACATCCATGTAAAGCTGAATAATAGACGAGCCATCCTCTTGCTCTTCAATTCTCACCATGAGAATTACAGAAAGTATAATTTAAGGTAAAAATGATTCCAAACATGACTCAAGCAGTACAAAGTAGCTGCATTGTGATCTTATGAACAAATGGAAACATTTTTCTCCTCTTGCCTTTGCAAAATGTTGTGTAGATCAGGGTATCGGCAGGAAAAGGGGCACTGAAAACAGACTCACTTTTCAACACAAGAATACTGCTAACGCTTAAAGCAATACAAAGAATGCAAACAACTTTCATTCCCTTCAGCAGTGAACTATCAACTGAAATATGAAGCAAGGTACAGAGGATATGCATTTTGCAATGTGCCAACCTTTCCTGAAAAAATCATGAAATGACAGGCTTAATTGTTAATTAAAATTTACCACAGATGCTACAAGTATTTTAATAACAAATAAATGCTCACAGCAGTGGAACAATTTTCACTTGAGCTCGCTTGCTTAATCACGAGACTCTCCACAAGTGAAGAGGTGTGAATCAGTACGAAGCTACACCTTCTCTGCTCTGTGTCAGGAAGAACTCACCTGTCTGAACGTGGAATCTGTTATCCGGCACAGTGAAAGAAGGATGCAGGGAGAGGATCAGCGGGGCCTCACCACGGAGAAGACTGCTGTTCACAAGCACGTTTATGACAGCTATTGCCGTGTAAACAAAAGGGCCTGATGTCACCAAGAAAGCAAACTTCGGGGAGATTTTATACACCTACCGAAAGAAAAAGAAATTAAAAAAGAAAAAAAATTCAATAAGAAATTTGGCAGCAACATTTTAGACATCCCAGACATTTTAGACATAGTCCCCGGCATTTCTAAGCTTAAACCTCCGTAGGTAAGAAACTGCAATCTTTATTTTACAAAGAGCAGGAGCATACAGGGCTCGCAGCCTCTCCTCCTGTGCAAGGCATGCAACCCTGCACCAGGCACATAACTGCAATCTCCTCAGCACAGCACATCTACCTCAGCTCTTCTCCATTTACTGTTGCACAGCAGCACTGCACCTTGTCTGCATTCCCCAGGAGTGTATGAGAGTTCCCGTACAAATTGCTGTTTATTACTGAACCATTTGCACAGCTTTCACATTTCAGATCCATGTTGCATAGCAAATGCATTCTATAACACTCACATGTGATGTGTGAGGAGCAAAATACACATAACCTGTGTTTTATAGATATATTTCCCCCACACATGTATTCTGGAGAATCTCTCTCGGCACGGTTACAATTACAATTTTCCTCTTCCATTTCATTGCGTGACTTTGAGACTTCTCAAAAACCCTGAGGAGCATTAGACATCATGCAAAAGAAATGAAATTGAAAGCTAAATATGAGCCTAGGCAAATGTTTCCATGCAGATGCTTTTATTACGTTATTATTCTGTCACCTAAGTAAAAACAAACTGAAGGCTTTTATTTATTCAAACAAATTGCAATGCATTCTCTCCCTATGGGAATCTCTCTCAGTATCAAGGACACCTATTTTTCCCATTTTCCAGCATTTTTTTTTGCTATTTCTTTTATTTTGCCCCCTTCCCCCTCCCAGCCCTTTGCTTTATTTGCTCAAGGCAGTCACACAGAAGTATTTTGGGATATCCAACATGATGGCCTCACAAATAAATAATCTAAACCAGGAGACTTGAGGGGTGCGATAAAGGTGCACTTCTTAGATGAAGAGATGCTGGCATCTGGCAGGCTTTGAGCTGGTGAAGGGGTTTTTCAGATAGTCCAGCTTCAAGACATGCCTTATGAAAAAGCACTCTGCTACTTAAATTGTAACTCACAGCTCAGTGATGGGATTTCTGCAACACTGAAACACAATGGTAACTGCAGCCCTTTCCTGCCTCTAGAAACACGATGCATTTCAAAGAGCTAACACTCACCAGAAGCAGCTACCTAAGCAACAGAATAAAAGCTTGTATCTTGCTCATTATTCTTTCCTTCTTAGTCCACAAATATATGCGGCATCCTGCTTTTATAAATGGATTTAGGCCCACAGAACACAAATTTGTTTGATATGAGTAATATGCACAGCTCTTCTCAGTTTCTCTTATCTGAAATTTTATCCTTTTAACTCAGGATGAAATGACCTCTGCAGCTTCAGTTTGTCAAACAGAAAACAGCAGTTGTAACAGGTAAGACATACAAAGAGAAAGTTGTCCAAAAGAGATTGCTTAAAAGGACAAAAAAAAAAAAAAGTTAGAATTACAAATCTTACTAACAATTTGCTGGTGATTTTCTGAAGCCATATACGCTGAGGAAGAGTGGCTTAGAAGAGCCAGCGTATTGTAATAGGCTATAGTTAGGTACTGAAGACAAGAAAGCAAGCTTCTGATAACCAGCTCAGCTGCATGCGCCTCTGACTTGTTCCAGTGTGCCACAGATGCAGTGAAAGCAGCCTATACTAGGAACTCCCCTGAAACTTTTCATTGACATTTTCACCTGAACTCATACTTTTCTTCTGCACTTTACTGCAGCAAAAGAGCAAAAGTAATGTCACAGTAATGGAAATTTAAAAGAACTTTTTAAACTCTCATTTTCAGGCAGGTGGATCAGAACCAGTGTAGGTCAAACAATAACTGTTTCTGCTGGAGATACTTCAGGGTTGTCTTAAGCTCAATCTCAGCAACTTAATTCAGATGCCAGAAGTAATACAGCCATGTTAGCATGATGATGTCTACAAGGTAATTCACAGAGAAGTTTGGAAAGTTATGCAGGATATATGAGAACAACTCACAACTCCTGATTCATGAATGAAAATTCCTTCTGGAACAGCTCTAATGATTCACAGAATCACAGATCGTAAGGGATCTCAAGGATCATGGATCTCCAACCCCCCTGCCACAGGCAGGGCCACCAACCTCCCCATTTAATGCTGCCCAGGCCCCATCCAATCTGGCCTTGAACACCTCTAGGGACAGGGCATCCACAGCCTCTCTGGGCAGCCTGTTCCAGCACCTCACCACTCTCAAAGTAAATGATGATGATGATGCTTGAGCAGCAAGACTTTCTGTCCCTGCAGCTAAAGGTGAATATACAGGCCATAAATGCCATAGTGGTACCAGACATCATTTTGGAGTCTCCCAAGTTTAAGTTGGGTCTATGTGAAAGTGATCAAGAACAACCACCAACACTGGTGAGGCCATTCGGTCTATCTCAGTGCACATGTGTGCATCACCAGAATTAAGAGGGTAGCAAATCAGACCTTATGTAGTCTATGGGTTCTGTTTGGTTTTGACACAGAACCATACGCTAATGGAAATTTGAGAAAGCAGTGGCACAGGAGTGGGAGAAGAGTACTGTTTTACTGCTATATAGGATGACTCCAGAAATGTTCTTGTCACATTCTTGCCCTGAGTTGTTTGTTCAGCTGGCTCATGTTGCTGTTTTTCACAAACTCATCTATCCATCCATCCATGCATCCATCCATCCCCTCTCTTGGAGTTTTTATCTCTGCTCCCAAGACAGCGAGATGCTATCAAACATGCTAACTAAGCTACAGTTTTAGAGCTCTGTCTATTAGAGCAAGCAAATGCAAATTCTAACACTAAATAGCCACAAAATTTTTTACCTTAACACTGCTAAACTCAGCATGCACTTCTGAGCCATTCCCACAGCAAAAGCAGAAACTTTCAGTATGAGCCAATGTACCATATCAAGCTGAGCCATCTCTTCCCCAAAGCCAGACAGCTAACACAACCCTATCGTTTCTAGGATACAGTCTATCTTACTCAAAGCTACCCTGACAAGAGAGAACGCTTCTGACACGGCAAGTTTTTAGGTTCCAACTTACCATAGTTACTGGGGAAAACATAATTGCATGCTTAACATCTTACGATTTTCCATAAGTATTTACTATAGATTATTGTCAGCTGAACTGCTTGATTTGATGCACCTTTGGTACCATCCAACCCATACCTACACACCACAGTATTATGCTGTGTAAACATCTGGTAGAAGGCATAAAAAATCCATTTCCTCACCACCACCTTATTAAGCATTCTGTAACCAGTCTGCAGGGAGCATTTAACTTCCTAAAGACGAGCTACAAAGGCTCACAGGTCTTAAAAATGAAAGAGATTCTGCTCCTGCACACATTAGGAACCAGAGGCAACAATTCTCCCACTATTTTCACACACCTAAACGATAACAGCCATGGTTTCAGCAGTGTTGAGCAGCAATGAATGTGACAGAAGTCGGTGCAAGCCCACAAGGTGGCACCTTTGAAGAAAGTATTTCACTGCCAGACAATGAACTCATTTCCTTACTTGCAAAGCAGAGGTTTGCAAATTTTGGATTACAGAAACCTGGCCCAAAACACCAGATAAATGTAGCAACAGAGTCACTGAGGTATACATTACACTGCATGATAAAATTTCCTAGCACAAATGAGGCTGGCAAAAAGCTTTCTTCTGTCTGTATGAACTTAATGGTACCTGGGGTGCTTCCAGCAAGTCACTGCCAACACTGTTTTTCTTCTCATATCCCCATGCAACAAAGCTATGTTGACTGAACACTGCATCTTACTCAAGTGCCAGAAAGCTTACATTAGAGAAAGCTGAAAAAAACTGCTCTTGTTCAAACCACAGGGTCTTATCCTTCTGCAGATGCTATACACTGAAATCAATTGGAAGGAAAGAACTTTCTAATTTTAGGTTACTATCGCTTTCCTGTAAGGAATTTTGGTAGGAAAAATACTGGAAGAAGATTATTCATGAGACAGGACTTAAACCTGCTTCTCTTTTTTTGTCCCACCCTTCAAATTTAGCAGCTCAGAGAGTTTGAAACAACAATCAGAGGCCAAAGTTTCAAGTGAAAAAGCTGGAAAAAAATGATTTTCCTTTCAGCGCTAAACTTGGATTGCATTTAAAGTGAGTAGCAGTTATAACCAATGTTGCCATGGATTTTATTTTTAAAGCACACATTACTACCAAGTTAAATTTAACAAGACTGTCTCCTGATTTACTGGGCATTACATCACAGCAAGGGAACAACATCTGTGAGCTGTAATAGGAGACACAGTTAAAAAGCAGCTTAAAAAAATGCACTGCTTTACCGTAACTTGCAAATGTACACGCATTTCCTGGGTACTTTTGACTAACAAAAATCACGTCTGCTTTATTAATTAAGTTTAGCAATATGGGAGAATTGTGTTTAAAACTCTGCATTGCATCACCATAAAACATGCTGATATTATAGACAGCTCTTTATTTAAAATAACAGTTTTGTTAGTATTCCACTGCTAGAGGTGAAGGCATTTGCTGGTGATTATATTTACTGCAGAAATACTTATACCCAAGGCATCACTAAAAGAACACATAGCAGCATTCAAGCATAAAATCAGCATATAAGATTCCACAGAGATGATTTCTCCTTTTGATAAAAAAAGAATATATTAAGAATGAAGCTGGACTAACTACATTACTTATAAAAGCAGTTGCCAGTAAGCAGCCCTAGAGCCAAAATGAGCTATTGAGAGCTCTGCAAGACAACAGTGGGCATGAAATGAAATGATTTAAAGTGGAAAAAAGATATCTAATGTTTGCTCCACTCAACCTTCAGATATTTACCAACACACTTCATCTGATTCACGTTATTACTGAGATGCTTCCATACTGTTGAAGCGTATAAGGTCACTGAATATCAGTGTAGTTGGTCACCTTGAACTTCTACTTTACTATGCTGGTTTTCAAAATTTAAAGGTGCATTTCAGAACGTAGAAGATAAATATGTTATTTACAAAGAAAAAAAAAAAACCAACAAAAAAACAAAACACCAACAAACAACCTTAGAACCTTATGAGGAAGTATTGCGAAAAGGACCCAAATGAAACATAAATCTGCAGTGGCAGCTCACAGTGGCTGAAATTTGGGAGAAACTCACAACACACTTATCCTGAGTGAGCAGTAGAGAGGCGTGTTACAAACAACAGACAGGAGCTGTTTAGTTACTGAGTGTCGTGATTGTGGAAGGAGCTGTCAAAAATACATTTTCCCACACAGACCAGCAAGCAGAAGTTAAAGGCACCACCAACTCAGCCCTCTGAGCACAGAGATCAATGTTCAAACTACTTCCTGAGGGAACCACGCACAGAACCAGGTACTGCCTTGGTGCTGGGCTATTGCAGCTGGACCAACACAAAAATGACACGTTGCAATTGAAGCTGAACCTGAACCTCAACCTGTAACTTCATTAAGATGTTCAATTTCATAACCTGTACTGAAGTATGTGACGAAGGTGCCCCTAAACCACCTCTGTGATTGTTTTTTCACTCGGGCAGAGGGGGCTCAAGGAAGAGGGGGGTGAAGAGTATGAAATCTCACCTCAGTGGGCACTCATGGAAATACTGCTCAAAGACGATTCCTTGAACATCAACGGAGAGGAAGAATTAAATAACAAAAATGGGACAGCAGAAATTCCTTACTCTGTGAGTAGAGGAAGGCGAGGAGTGGGGAAATTCCAATCACACCTATTTCAAGGCTTAAAAAGAATATCCTACCATTGCACATCTGTTTTTTTCCCTGTCTTTCTCATCTGCCAAATCCCGTGCATATGAGATTCTACCACTTTCTCTGTAATTGCTGATGACCTCAGTTACAAGATAAAACAGCACAAGGCAGTGGAGAAGGGCTTGCTTTGCTTAAGGCATAAAGCATATAAACAACTAGCAGGAGAAGCAAAACATACTTTAGTATAGTAAAAGCTTTTCAGCTCAGTTTCATCTCACAAGTCAGAGCAGGTGAGAAGCGGAGTCAGGAAACTGCTTGCTCAGCTATGGCAAAAGCAAGAAAAGTCTGCCTTAGAAAATAAATTACATTCTAAAAGTTAAAAAAAAAAAAAGTTGGATGTCATACACGCATTAAAACAAAAGGTTAATGCTTAAGTTGAAATAAACCTCTCTGTGGTTTAGCATCAGAAGCGTTATTTTTAAATAACTAGTTTAGCCTGTGAACTAAAACCACTATTGTACTACATTAATCAAAGAGTGCTTGTACACACTTCATGCCACTTACCTCTAGCTCTACTGATCGCCTGAACTGAGCTCTGAGCACTTCTCTGATGGATTCACTGATGTTTTGGAGAATAGCTCTTCGGGCCAGCACTGGAAATTAATGTCAGTCAGTAAGTATACTTTAGCTTCGCCTCTTGGGCTTCATCTCAAAGCTGCATTTTCAATAGTGTGATGCATGAAAAAGCAGACAATGAGATCAACTGTGTCAGACAAGACAAAGAAACAGGCAATGGTATGAATATATCCTAAAAAGCAACTTAAACTGAATACAGTTTAAGAAACTACAGGTTTATTTCCTCTAATATTTGTCAATATCTAATGTCTTTAGTATTCTAGTCAAGGAACCCTCTTAAGAGTCACCCAAGCATTCAAATAGGGTCTGAAACTTGCAGCAATCGGTCTGGTCTGCACACCACAATGAGACTGCTGTCATAACACAGTTTAACTTTTGTAGGCAATGCATGGAATGCAGATGAAGTCAGAAAAAAGCCACAGCAAATATGCATCTACTTTTCTCTTAAATAGAAGCAAACAAACTTGGGTTAGTGAAAGGGATATCCACTAAGAAACTGCTACAAAATCCCCATGCCCTTACAGATGCTATGTCTGCTTGAGACTGTAACTGAGGACAAGGAAACAACTGAGAAGTGTGACGCTGCCATTCTGCATCTATTTTCCGTCAGTAAACTGCCTACAGAACTGCCCAAATTATAGGTTAAAATAAATCTTCCTTCTTGCCAGCAGTCAGCACACCTTCATTTCTGGAGAATAAGATAATTATCACTTTGCTTTCCACATTACAACAAAACTAAAGGGCAAAATGCGTTGATTACCACAGAGTATGCAGCATTTCTACAGTTGCCCTTGGTTAGTTCTCTGGTGCAAGCCAGGAGGAGGTAGGAAAACACCAAAAAAGCAAAAACACATGCTGAGACAATTGGTTCTGAAACACACTAATGTATTTTCTTCTGGTTAAAACCATGCCAAGTCCAATTGAAGCAAGCACGAGATGGGGGAAAATACAAACATAAGCTGGTAGAGTAAAATGATAAAATAGCAACAAAATCCCAAATATTCTTTAAGCCAAATTTCCTCTTTCATATTAAAATATTATCTCACACCTGGGCTATTTGCAACAGTGTCAATCTCAAGGAGAAATTCAGAACAATCATTTGCAGAATGTTACTATAAGAATAATGTTTGTTTTCAAGCAATCAAATTAAAAAGTAGCCTCAAATATACGTACTTATATATACACATCAGCAGTGTTAAAACACAGCTTCATTCACTCTGCCAGGTAATTCACTGGCCTAGCAATTTCCCTTCAAGTGAATTCTTCTATATTGAAAAGATCCATGGATTTACAGCTATTTGACTAAATTTTACACATTTCTCTGATTTACTCAAGTAGCCAACTCAACACCTGCAGTTTAACTACGGGCTCACAACACAGTGGTTTCTGAAAATGAAACAAAGACGTTGGTGGCCTCTCACCAGCAGTGACGAGGTACGCGTCAGGAATCGCGATGTCACAGACGTAGGGCTGCCTGGTGGTGCTGGTGGCAGAGGGGAGGATGGCGGCTCCGGGGCGAGTGGAGGTGACCAGAGGAGGGGAGAAGGAAACACCAGACCTGCTTGTGGTGCTGGTGGCAGTGGTGGTGGGGATGGTGCTGGCAGCAACTGATGTGTCAACATCACTGGCTCCCGTTGGAACGTCGTATCCCATGGGAGGGAGGGAAGTCAAGGGAAATTGTGTGGGAACAAACAATGTGGTCACAGACGAAGATTCTGTAGGAGAGGGGAGAATGCTGCTGGCATCAGCATGCTGCGTCGGGCCGCCAGGGTCTGTGGTCATAAGGGCTGTTGTGTGAGTGCTGCTCTCGCTGAGGGATGTTAAAAGCAGCGTGGCCTCAACTGTAGCACCAATATCCTCATCTGAAGCCAGACCAGTTGAGAGTAGAGATGAAGACACATTTAAGACAGGAGTTGTTGGGAAGGTAGTAAACACAGAGATCAGATTTGTCTCATCAAACAGGACGCTGCTTCTAAGAGGCCCGGTGTCAGAAGCGGGCAGCACCAGGGTGGGAGCCACGGACCGCAAGGAGGAAGGGGAAGGCTCTAACTGAGAGGTAGCTCCTGGTACAGCTGAGGTAAACACGGCTTCGGATCCCACCGGCAATACTGATGGTGCTTCCAGAAACACAGACGAGTTGGAAAGAAAACTTGATGATGGCATTATTTCAGGTACATGTGCACTTGGAACAGAGGACGTATTTGAATAAAAGTACAAGGTTTGCCCGACAGAGAACAAAGACGCCTCGGAGTCAGTGGCAGAGCTGACAGCGGTAGCTAAGTCCCAGCTGGAAACATCCTCAGAAAGTACTGGTGTTCCACTCAACAAGGTCTGAGGTAACGGTGTTGAGAAATCACTCTGCATGACAGAGTGAGAAGTTAGCACAGCTGATGACAAAAGTAAGTAGCTAGGTTCAATCAGAAATGGTGTTGATAAAAGATTGGATGAAAAATCTGAAATATTTAAAGACAGCTCTTCCCCTGTAGATGTCTTATCAAATAAAAATACGGATTCTGATGGCTTAAGTTCTGGCGACTCCAGCCAAGTTGTGGAGCTGACTGCAAGTGATGCAACCGGGTGGCTCACGATGGTCACAGACTCCAACAGAACAGTGCTGGTAGTGGGATGCTCTACACGAGTGTTTGGTGCCAGTGACACAGTTCCTGTGACAGGCAGAGAAAACTGGACAGCAGAGATGTCCAGGGAGGTCTCATTGGGCAGCTCATGGTAAGGAGAACTTGCAGGTTTTCTGTCATCAAGAGCAGTGTCCACAGTGCTCAATAAAAACAAACTCGAAGCAGGGATTTCTGCAAATCTTGAAGAAAATGAAACAACTGGTCTTGATGGAAAAGAAGTATCATATATCTCAGGTGTAGGCTCTTCTAACTCATATGTGTCGGCAATTACAGTTGTAAACGGAGTTACGCCTTGTACTTCAGAGGCTGTGAATGACAGAGTTTCAACATAATCACCTGAGCCCACATCGTGTTCTGGGGAAAATCCTGCTTCTTGCAGAAGAGAAATGGAGTCACAATATAAACACGAACTGTACGATCTCGTGAAAGGCACTGGGCTTATGAGCTCGCTATCAAGCTCAGATTGACTTGGTATTTCTGAATCAGCAGGCAAATTTGGTGCTGTACTAGAGAATTTCTGTGTAAACAAGCCAGCATTGAAAACTGTATCAGAGTAGGTGGACATGGCAGCTGAGTGACCTGGGAAAGCTGCAAATGGAAGACTGATGGAAAACAAAGCAGAATCAGCGCTGGCTGTTGCAGCAACTGTGGCCCAGGGAATACTTGGGGCAGGGTCAGTCCTTACACTGACAGCTTCTGTTGCCCTGCTACTCATACTGGTGTAAATGTCACCACTTTGTGCTGTAGCACCTGCTGCAGCACGGCTATTTTCACCCAGCAACTTGAGATGGACAGGTGACCCCTCTGAAGTGGCCCCAGAAGGAAGAGATGTTACACTTCTGTTTACGTTTTCCCACATTGCATCCGCCTTCTCGGAAGGAACGGGAGTGAAATAAATACCTGTATCTGAAGGGTGCAATGGCAAGTGTCTGCTTGCAGTCAGTATTCCACTGTCTGGTACAAAAGGCTCCAACTCTGTGAGACTGGTAATGTAATCAAGGACAGCACTCAGTGGAGTCTTTTGCTGTGCTGTTCTCAAGATATCGTATGGTGAAGAAAAGACAGATAATGAAGGTGTTAGTAATGGAGTTTCTAATGTTTCTCTTGGTAACTCTACTGTATTAACTGAGTGATGATCTGTTAAAATTGCAGAAGACTTCAGTGGAGGAGTCCACTGTACCTTTGGAAATGGGTTAATAAATTTGTCGTCACTTAAGAATGCCTCATTGCTTGTTACGGAGAAATCTATCAACGGCGTACTTCTCCCTTCTGAAATTCTGACTGTTTCTTCTTGGTTAAATGAAGTCACATTGATGGGAGTGGTAACTGATGATAAAAGCGTTTGAAGAAAATTACTTTCTGGGGACTCCAAAGTACTTTTTGCTAAGGCCATTTGTGTTCCGCTGCCTGATATGCTTTGGTGCACCTTTGAATCCATTGAGAAAAAGGAAAAATTTCGCTTCTCCAGGGATATCTCATCTAAATAAAAAGAGAAAGAAAAACAAACAAAAGCAGGTTAGCTTAAGCAGTAAGACTGGAAGAAGCAAACCTTCCAGAATTCTATTCAGAATTCAAGGCCACAGACAAAACTGCCCAGTACTTGAAAAAGTATTAAATTCTTCTGTGAAACCCCATTCCCTTTAAATGAGAGGGATGACAGGAGCTCCTCTCACTTGTCCCTTGACAGCAGCACCTCAGTGAGCCTGCAGAATGGAGAGCAGCTCCCTCTCACAAGGTTTCTGCAGGTCAGCTAATGTGCTCCCAAAGTAAGCAGTCAGAAAGGGTAATAAGGTACAATACAGATAAAAACTTTGTGTAACTTCAGGGACTAAGTTTAGCTCTTCTGCCTTCTGCTAGAATCACCTCATTTCCTCCAGTTTTACTATTTCTTATTAGGCTCACTAGCAGATCTGTTCTCTTCCAAGAACCAGCTCCAGGAAGTATCAGAAATAAATGATACTGCTATTGATGAGAGATAAAAAGGAGTTCCCTTCATATGAGTCAGGAACCACATGCAAGTATTTGCTGACATAAAACATGTCCAGCAGTTATGTTTACATTGCCTGCTGCTAATCTCATTTTGGCCTGTAAACAGTTGTGGCAAATTGCTTCATTACACAATTGCCATCTTCATTCGCATCTTGCTGTAGAACTTCTTTGTTTACAAAACTTTCACTTCTTCAGCTTGCAGGACTGAGCTCAAGCAAGAAGGAGGAAAAGCTGTGATTTCAACAGACTTTTTAACAAGATTCTTGCGAAAAATCATGCATCAATTGCACAACTTGACTATATTTTCTGCTCTTGCAAAAGTATTCTTGGATTGCACAAAAGATGTGCATACAAACTTTTTCCAGCCATGGATGTGTTTAACAAAGAAAAGATTTATTATTGAATATTTCTCTGAAATGTCTAGATGGGATTACTAGCCTTCAGAGTCGAATGTTCAAGGAAATCACAGAAAATTGCCCCCGGACATTTTTTCTAGGGTACACACAAAGGTTTCATTCTTACTTTAGCTATCCCCCCCATCATCCTGTTTTCCTAGCATTACTGTTTTCATACTGGAGCTTACTGACAGCACACGCTGAAAAAGCTGCTGGGGGGTGGGAATCCCAACCAATTAAACCACTAGGGAACAGCTGAGAATAAAAGCTAGTGTACACAGTAGAAAGTGCCTGATGGTGATACAGTAGATCGCTGAAGTGTAGCTACATTAGCAAGCCCTCATAGCATGCCTTGATCTTGGTAGTCCACAGCAGACCTTTGCAGGAGCAGTTCACCTATCTGTTACACTCCTGTTGCCAATTCAACAGCACTTTCCAAAAGTGATAAACTGCTGCCATCACCCCCTCTGCCCCTGTCTGCTAAATTCCCCGACACAATTTTTCAAGCACTGACACACTGACTTGGTAAGTTCTGAACCTGCTGATCTGAGAAGCACAATTATAAGAATTAACACACACAGCTAATGCCACTGTAACACTAACCAACTCTATTCAAATAGTACTGCTGTGATAATATGCTTCATTTTACAGATTCCATGTGCAATATTTTACAGTGTAACAGTTATCATTCTCTTAAGTAGACCATTTTTTCCTCCTGCAACTCACTGCAAGTATCGCTCGCTACATGACGTTTGTGGTGTGATGAAAGAAATTGCCTTAGAAAGATTCAAGTAAAAAATAGATAAATAGACAAAAAGTTAATAAAAACAACACAGGCCACTCTTGCAAAAGCTGTGCACAGGACAAATACACAAGTACATCCTTGGCTTCTTCCTCTGGGCTCTGCTGCTGGAATGCAATGCAGCACAGCCGCTCTGAATAATGGCTTTCAGAAGTAAGTAACATGAGTAACAGCAAAAGCAGTCCCCAAGAGGCATGGGACCAAAGCAGAGATCCCCCTGCAGGGGCTTGTGATACCAGCCCCCCTTGCTGACAGAAAGGTGTCCTATGTTTTCTCTTCGTTGAAGCTCTTCCTGACCTCATTCCTTCCCTCGACTTTAGGTTTTGCCTTTCTGATGTTTTGAGCAAGCAGGGAGTTACTAAAGGAAAAGAATCACAAGACTATAAAACACGCACTGTCAAAATGAATCACTTCTCTCCCAGTACGCATAAAGGTATGCCATCAGTCCTTTTAGGTAAAATGCTGTGAAATACTGCCCATTTTTGACAGACTTTGGATACTTAGTGTTTGCTTAAAATGAATTCCAAATTATAAGCAAATGCACTAATAAAGATTTCCTTGTACATCATGGTTTCATGCTGTAAGCCCCAACATTAATAACCTCTAAAGACAGAATGCACAGTACACGTGACATTACTCCACAAGATGCTTAATATGACTGGCAAAGGTGCCCACATTCTGATTACTAAGAGCACTTCAGATCTGCAAAAAGCTACAGGTGATGATAGATAAGCTGATTCTGCAGACGAAACAACTGCACTGTCTACACACACCCATGCTGTGCACTTTCATCTTCCTTCACCCACAGAGAGCCGCTATTATTTTTGCTCTATTTGACAAGGCAAAATCCTGCTGGAAGTGACTACAAGCCACAAAGATTTCCGTAGAGCTAGTTAGAATTACAGCATCATAGACCACCAAGATCATCCAGTGCAAACATCAACCCATAGTTGCACTGATAACAATTCAAGAGACATGCATAAGGCAAGGGCAACTCTGGCTTTAAATTCACTCTGACTTTACAGCTAGACTTTTGTTGAGAACCTGTGTTTTTCTTTGAAAGACACAGGAAAACAACTTCAGAATAAAACATGGTGGGATTTTGTTTATTTGTTTGTTTTTAAGGAAAACAAAAACTACTGCCAGAGCACAGAGAACTTAGAAAAGCTAAGAGACAAGGTAAGAGTGCTGATTACTTGAAATGAGAGATGTAAGATTTTGAAACAAAAACTCCCTGGCAAGTTTGCAAGCCTGTGTTCTATGTTAGTTGCTTCGGCTGGCTTTTTAGAAGCAGGGAGTACTAATGACATGCCATTACTAATACAAATTATTGTTTTCTGTCATCTTCAGCAGAACAGTACACTACTTGACTACCGCTCGTCAGAGCTACACACCACTCGGGCACAGATGGGACGTGCAGCAGATGTGCCAGGGAGCAGCCAGAGAGCTCACAAAGAGGAGCAGCACCGTGCTCTGAAGGAGGCGAAGGCACAACGCATGGCAATCACATCCTCATCGCTGCAAAGCAGCTGATCTGGCTATGCTGCGGGACAAAGGAGCTGACAGACTGCACATGTTCTGCTGTACTTTAATGCCGTGACTGCACAAAGCTATTGATTAATATCAATGCTGACTTGTTTGCTCGCACAGCTGTTGTTGTTGGGTGACAGACTCACCATCCAGCAAGTGTGCTGCCATTGAGCCAGTCAATGGTGACAGGATGACAAGCAGGCAAGGCACACTCCACAAAGCTGGTAAACAACGTTATAAAAAAGGATAGCTTGGGAAGCCAAGCTGCGATGCTAAGCTACAGCAAAGAGGAGGGAAAAAGAACACTGGTGGAAATGATCACATGATCCACAGATGGCACCAGGACTATGCTTTCATCCAGACAAAGACATTCAGAAACCAAAGGAGTGACACCAAAAGCAACATGCTAATGTGCCTCGGATGGTGAACTCTGCTGCTTCTGCCACCCACTGAAACAGGCTGGAGGCTGAATGACATCAACCAGCATCAAAACCTGTCACTGGATACAAGGAGCCCTAACGATGCATTTACAGAAGCATGGCCGTGCATCACAATACTGGCTGAATGTGGTGAATTCCCAGCAGCAAATGGCTGTTGCAGTCTGTAGACTTCTTTGAGGATAAAGTATACCATGTCAAATTGCCAGAAAGCCACAGGTGTACATAGCCCAGGAACTAGGCTGGCCATTTTTCTAGAAAGCAATTAGAGAAATACAGTTTTCATTCACTCAAAACTTGCAGTGGTAGAGAGAAAACTTGTTACACTCTATATACTCTGTATAATAAAGCAAAACAACAAATTTGCAGTTAAATATATATAGATATGTGAATACATAAAAATATATGTTTATATATACACACACTATTATAAATGCTGGACCTGAGATGTAATTTCAGCTCTGCCACTGATCAATTTGCAAATTCTATAGAAGTCACATCACTTTTCTGCACCTTGTTAGTAAAATATGGCAGTGGTACACTGCCACAACTATCAGTATCTATGAAAGCATCTCTGTCTTACAGAGACCTTCAATTACAAGTGATAGGTACAGGCATAACAAAAGAGGAAAAAAAACCATAGTCTTTACTTGTAATCAAATAAAAACTTGTGAATAGAAATGTTAGTTTTGTTGAGAAACTAAGTAAAGCCTAATAGAGTTTGAAAACACTAGAAAGCGCCAGAAAAGTAGTTCAACACAAAAATCATTTAAAAATATATATCCTGTAAATAAATGCAAGGATCTACATCATCAAGTTTTAGTGTCTCTCCTTTTTAAGCAAGGAGAAAACAGAGGCGCTATGGTAGACCAGCAGCCAATGCTACACACATTCCAAGTATTATGAAAAAACCCTTGACTAGATAACAGCTCCCAAATTAAAATTTTAGCTACAAACTAATTAGATGGCTCTCTAACTTTGGGCAGACTGATATGTCATAGAATCATAGAATGGCTTGGGTTGGAAGGGACCCCAAGCATCATCAAGGTCCAACTCCCCCGCCACAGGCAGTGCCACCAACCTTCAGATCTAGTACCAGACCAGGCTGCCCAGGGCCCCATCCAACCTGGCCTTGAACACCTCCAGGAACAGGGGCATCCACAAACTCTCTAGTCAGCTTGTGCCAGTACCTCATCATTCTCTCTGTAAAGAACTTTCCCCTGACATCCAATCTAAACCTTCCCTCCTTGAGCTTAAAACCATTCCCCTTTGTCCTCCTACCACTGTCTACCCTTGTAAAAAGTCCCCTCCTGTTTCATAATCCCT